GGGCTCGTTAAACCTCCTCACGACCCTCCGTGGGGGGCTTCTGAGCTCCCAGATAGCGGGCGAGAAACTGATGCCGGGGACGTTAACTGTAAGTCGCCCGGGGCCGCACAGCCCGGGAATCCGGGTCTGACCTCCGCCGGCCTGCTGCTCCGAGAAGTGAGGAGACTTTGCCGAGCTCACCCAGGGCGGGCCGGGATTGGAACCCGGGCCGATCGGAGCCTGGCCGTCCCCTCGGCGCGGCCGCCGGTGCGAACTTTGGTGCCTCGCGGACACTCGGTTTCTCATCCGCAAAGTGGGACAGAAATGGGTCCTGCTGGTGAGATCGTGGAAGTAAAGTGCTTAGCACAGTGCCTGCCCCAGATACGTTTTCCCTATGTCGTCCCCCCAAATTTATTTCCCACTCCCTTGACAATAAATTGAGATTTCAACTTATAGTTCTGTCGGGACCACCCAACCTGAGCGACCTTGTGATCTGTATATCCAATCCCAGGCGGCAAGGAAAGGGACAGCCGGTACTCGTGGGATGGGCGAGATTATTGGGAAAGGGAGAGTGGATGCCGAAAGCACAGCCTCAGTGAATTTCTCAATTGACTGATTTTTTTTTTTTTTTTTGGTTTCAACAGTGTGTCAGTTCGCTGTAAAAAGAAACACAAGCGAGAGGAGGAGGATGATGAGTAAGTTTCAGGTGCCATTTATTCACTTTATGATCACTTAACCTGTTGCCTATCCTCAACTACTTATTTTAAGAGAAGAGGTGAAATATTAAGTATCTCTGCAAGGAGGCACAAGGAACTGGTAACGGTGGTTGCCTATTAGGGGAAGTAACTGGGTAGCTGGCATGTCAGAGGGAAACTTTTGTCTCTGTAATCCTTAGTAACGTTTGAATTTTCATCCGTGTGAATATTATTACATGTACAAAGTAAAAGGATTTCAAGTGTGGGAAAGGATACACATTGTAAAGTCTTAGAGTGCATACTCCCCTTTTCTCCCTGTTACCTGTTTCCTGTTTCTCCTTTGGAAGGTAATCTAAAAACTTTATAACTGCATATACCTCTGGTTTTCTATATTTGTAAGAAGGTAACTCTTCACATTGTGCAACACATTGATCTTTTCATTTTATTCTCCAGTAGCTTGTTGAGTATGGGCACATAGGGTTCTACCTAATTTCTTCTGCAACATTGAGTAGAATAGTATTGTAAGGCTAGGTATAGATCATTAACCAGTCTCCTGTTGATTTCTAAGTTAGGTCTAATCTTTTGCTTTTACTGTGGATTAAATCTACCATGCCTGTTCTTTTTAAAGTTCCTTGTATATATTTGCAAGTAGGTTAATGAATTTCTAGATGGTGAATTGCATGCATTTTAAATTTTGAAGAGTTGTTGCCAATTTATATTTCTTTTAACAGTGGAAATGCCTATTTCTCCATCTTCTCACCAGAACTGTATTTTCAAACTTTTTCACTTCACTCATAGGTTTAAATATTACATCTCATAGACAGGCAGTCTAATAGAAAAATGAGCGAAAGAATCCCTCAGAGAGGATATCCAAATGACCAACAAATGAAAGGTGTTCATTCGACCTTATCAGTCTTCAGGGAAATGCCTAGTAAAGCCTCAGTGAGATATGTTACTTTACCACCAGGTACTGGAGCATCAGTTACTGCAATACTATGGATGAGAATGTAAATCAGTACAAGCACTTTGGGAAGTAGTTTGGCGTTATCTACCAAGTTAAAGACATACATACCCTATTACCCAACAGTTCCCCTCTTGAGTGTGTACATGCTTGTAACAAGAGACACAAGAAAGTTCATAGCATCCTTGTTCATAATAGCTCAAAACTAAAAACAACCTATATGTCCCTCCGTAATAAAATGGATAAAGTAAATTACAAATTCATACAGTGGAGTTCTATTCAGCAAAAAAGGGAAAAAGGAATATGACATCTATCATTCTGGATATGTCTCGAGAATAATATGAGCGAAAGAAACATCCCAAGAATATATACAGTACTATAACATAGTGTTTACCTGTAGGGAGAAGGAAATAAAGTACCATTTTGGGATGTTGGCAGTGGTCTACGACTTGAATGTTATTTTAATGGATGCTTGTTTTCTAATTATTCATTGAATTGTATAAGCATAGGATCTTATAGTTAGGGCGCCTGGGTGGCTCAGTTGGTTAAGCGACTGCCTTCGGCTCAGGTCATGATCCTGGAGTCCCTGGATCGAGTCCCGCATCGGGCTCC